CTATACTTTTTGATAGCCGGGCACCATCAGCTTTCTTCGCCACATTTGCTTATGCACCCATTTGTCTTCAGTGATAAAAGGCTTTCTATTAAAGGCTCACAATAATAAATCTACCAGTGAAATAATATAAAGTGTGGGATTTGCCTTAAAACATCCAGATATATTCATACATTGTGCAATTAAGAAGCAAAGAAGGTGTTGCAAATAATTTTCCTTTACAGAATATTTATAGCACATCAAGAAAATGAAAGTTACTCCATTTACTAAAACCTTGCCTCGCACCAAGCGGAAAATAACATGTTCTACACAACCTTGACAAGGATGCATTATTAGCCCCACGCCTTGGTGTTCAACAATTATGCACTTGGCTTTTAACTGAAAGGTTGGCAGTCAAATCCAGTCAGCAGCACTGAGAAGAAAGGCCTCCTGATCTAATTCCATAGATATTACAGTCAACAAAACCCCGTGAGACTGTTCTCCTCTTTGACATAGGGTCACTATGAGTTGGAATCAACTTCACAGTGCCCACCATCAAAAACAATGCATGTAGGAAACTGAAGGTCAGAAAGTTTAAGAGGCAATGGAGTCATCATTCAATTTATGATGGACTCTTTCAAATACACTACACCCCTTTCAGCAGAAAGTTTTGGATAAATCCTGCCTGGGGGTAGAGAAACAGACCAGATGATACTGTTTCCTGGAAGTCTAATGGCTCTATAGAGCATAGACTCTATCAGTCTATTTCCTCTGCTGGTCCAGAGCTTCCAATGAAAGCAGATACCTTTGGACAATTCTTGTTTGGAGGGACAGATGGTTGGACTGGAATGAATATCCAACCTAAACCAGCCAGGCTGGCTGCTCTGGTACTAAAGAGTCTCTTTCTCTTAATCACTTCAATAGAAAAATTAGAGGGGATGCAGTCAATGATAGTGCTGCAAAAAACTGTTTTCATGTTGAGAAAAGGATCAGAGATGCCATAATGAACCATGTTTGAGATGAATAAGACAAATGGGTAGGTGCAGAGAGAGAGAAAGAGATGTTTAGACCCTAAGTCATACAAAGGGTTCTCAGGTCCTGGCCTAGAAATCACTTTTGAATGTCCAAGAGGTCT